TTTTAAACACCTACCTTATACAGAATGCCATGCTGAATGCTAGGAGAAGTATAAAGTTTATATAAGATACTGAGAGAAATGATTGTTTTTACATTAATATCAATTATTGAATTAGAACCAGATTTTTTTTCCCTTCCTGCTTCCTCATTCAGAAACCAGAAACCTGTAGGTTGTTCAGTCTCTGAAGGACATTGTTGATGGATGAGATTGCCCAATCTCAATTTTCTGTCCTGGGTGGGAGACCCCACCCAACTAGAGAACCTTACAAAGAATTAAATCTAAGGCAAATTCCCACCCATTGTGTGGGCTTGAGGAGGGAAGGGGTAGATCTTTTGTCTAGATTATGAGGTTGGGGGTAGTCTGGCTTGAGATAGTCTCTCTTTGTCCATGAGTGAAGTAATCTAAGTCACATCCCCCTGCTCCTCATTAGAATAGGTCTACCTTTCATTATAATATTCTTTCTTATTAATTATTAACCAGAGTTGATTGCCACCTGTTAGGAACACTCACTCGTCCAAGGACATATAAGAGTCAAGAAGCCCCTATAATCCATCTTTGGTTCATAAGAGACAGACAAATGACCAATCCTTTTATTAATTATCTGCTAGCAATAATTAAGAAAATGATTACCCAGAAATTGTCTTTCAAACTTTTTATACATCACAATACTGAGTTTTTAAACATGGAGCTTGTAAATTAGTTTTGAAACTTGCTGGTGAGGGGCAGCTAGGTGGCAGAGTGGATGGAGCACCAGCCCTGAAGTCAGGAGGACCTGAGTTCAAATCCAGCCTCGGACGAAACACTTGATACTTACTAGCCTTACTAGCTGTGTGACCCTGGGCAAGTCATTTAACACCAATTGCCAGAAAGAAAGAAAGAAAGAAAGAAAGAAAGAAAGAAAGAAAGAAAGAGAGAGAGAGAGAGAGAGAAAGAAAGAAAGAAAGAAAGAAAGAAAGAAAGAAAGAAAGAAAGAAAGAAAAGAAACTTGCTAGTGAAAGCCAGGTGATGGGGAGAAGGTCCATGACTTCCTAAGAGGCACTGGTCTCTAAACCCAGATGTTGCCTCTGTTCTTCCCACCCAGTCATGCTCCTTTAGTGATCCTCTAGCAGAGAGGAAAGCATAGGGATCTGAGTGCTAGAACTTCTCCTTGGGGTAGGGATAGGGACTGAGCCTGTGATTTCATTGACAACAGGGAACTCCCAGATATGGAAACTTCCTCTACCGGTGTAGTTTGAGACTTTCTTTGTAGTTTATAATCTTGTCTATAAGCACTAAGAGGTTAAGTAACTTGACATAACCATTATATGTCGGAGACAAGACTTGAAACCAGGTCTTTCTGACTCATAGGAGAGCTATCTGTCCTTCAGGCCATGTTCCCTCTCATTAGCTTTAAAAGTGCATAAATGGTACCCCCCACCAGAAGGAGTCTCAGTGTAACTACAGATAGCTTCCAAAGTCGCCCTCATGAGTCCTGGAGACAGAAATAACTAATGCAGGATGCCAAAGAGGTCCTCATCACTGTGGCTCTCATTTATAGGAAGTAAATTTCCATCAGTCCCACATTGGGTAAGCTGCTCAGAAACCTGCATTCAACCTTCCTGAGAACAATGTAGGGCTCTGGAAAAAGGCACTGGGTTTTCTAAACACATCTTCTTCACCCCCCAGATGCTGAGCACTGAGGAAAGCTGGTTCAAATACATATTTCCCCTAGAATCAGGCTGCCTGGTAATGCGTCACATGGATACTTACTCATTTTAGGGAACAAAAACAGCAGTTAAAAAAAAATAGATTTTTCAGGATATCACTTGGCGAAATTCTGAAATGTGAAATTTAGGGGAGATGCACTAAAGGAACTTGCTTGACTTGAAAGCTGTAACCATTCCTGAGGCAACCTCAGGAGCCATATGGTAACTTCTGGGGTGGATCTTGTATACTTGGGGTTTGATACAGTGGTTTGCTGCTCATAAGAAAAGCTACTTATATTATCGTTTGAGGTTTGTAGGGGAGACAGAAGGCTGAGGTTACGTCTACTGAGGGAATTCTGGGAAGACAGAAGTAGAGGTCAAGGGGCCAGAGAACTCGGGAATATGAGTCACTCATTTGGTAATGGCAGGAGGCCTTGGAGGGACAACATGGAGATTTGAATTTAATAACGTAGCAGAAAGATCATTGAACTTAGGAGGCAGAAGACCTGGGTTTGAGTCCTGGTTCTACTACTTACTGACTGTGTGATATTAGGTAAGTCCAGAGGCTTTTGTCAACATAGAGCTCTCTCATATAAGCCCTGTTAATCGAATGGATCAAATAATATGAGCTTTGCATAATTATAAAATGCAAGGATAATTCAAAATAGACCATGTTGCTAATCACCACTAGAAATTCTCTCTGATTCTAGGCTCTTGGGGGTGAATAGGCCCAAACAAGTGGAAAAGGAGGTTGAGTGGAATGTTTTGGGACACTGTGGTCAAGAGTGTTGGTGGAAACTATTGTATTTGCTGAAAGAGGCTGGATCTGATAGCTAATAGGTCTTACTTAATGCTAATTACTAACACTGCTGGTGAAAGACAATTTCCTTCAGAGGCCTCACCTAACTAGGAGCCTTAGAATATAGGTAGACAGTTTGATAATTGGTCAGGTTTACTGAATTAAATTAAATTACAAACTACTTTTATAGAATTAAAGGAAGACTTACATTATTGGAGAAATGCCTGCATCAACATAGTAAAAATGACTGTAGTACCTAAACTAATTGATATTTAGTGCTATACAAATTAAGATGCCAAAGTGGTACTTTATAGAACACCACAAAATAATAACAAACTTCATCTTAAAAACAAAAGGTTATACACACTCATTTGGGTATAGAAATCTATCTTACCCTATGGAAAAGTAGGAGGGGAAGGGAATAAGAAAAGAGGGATATGGGCAGCGAGGTGGCACAGTAGATAGAGCACCAGCCCTGGAGTCAGGAGGACCTGAGTTCAAATGTGACCTCAGACACTTGACACTTACTAGCTGTGTGACCCTGGGCAAGTCACTTAACTCTAATTGCCTCACTAAAAAGAAAAAAAAATCACTAAAAAAAAGGGCTGATAGAATGGAGGTCAGATTGGGTGAGGTGAAAGTCAGAAGCAAAACACTTTTGAGAATAAACAGGGTGAAAGGAGAGAGAGAGTAGGATAAACGGGGTGAATATGATGGAGGGAAATACATAGTTAGCAACCATAACTGTGAAAAAAATTACAGCAAATTTCTCTGATAAAGACCTCATTTTCAAATATATAGAGAACTAAGTCAAATTTGTAGAAACAAGAGTCATTTCTCAGTTGATAAATCATCAAAGAATATGAATAGGCAGTTTCCAGATGAAGTACTCAAAACTATTTTAAAAAATGATCTAAATCACTTGGTTAGAGAATGCAAATTAAAACAACTCTGAGCTACCACCCCACACCTATCAGATTGTCTAATATGACAGAAAAGGAAAATTACAAATGTTGGAGGAGACATGTGAAAATTGAGACACTAATGCACTGTTGGTGAAGTTACATACTGATTCAACCATTCCGAACTATGCCCAAAGGGCTATAAAACCATGCATATACCCTTTGACGAAGCAATACTGCTCCTAGATCTATATCCCAAAGAGATAAAAACACAGAAAGGCAAATGACCTATATTTGCAAAAAAAAAATTTAAAGCAGCTCTTTTAGTTGTAGTAACGAATTGGAAATTGAGGAGACGTTCATCAATTGGGGAATGGCTGAACAAGTTGTTGTATATGATTGTGATGGAATGCTATAAGAAACAACAAGCAGGATGCTCTCAGAAAAACCTGGAAAGACTTACATGAACTGATGCAAAATGAAATGAGCAGCACCAGGAGAACATTGCATACAGTAACAGCATGATCAACTGTGAATGACTTAGCTGTTTTCAGCAATACGATTGCTGACAACTTGCTGACAAAAAAACAGACAGTTCTGAAGGACTTACAATGAAAAATGCTATCCATCTCCAGAGAAAGAACTGATGGAATCTGAATGCAGACCGAAGCATATTTTTTTCTTTATTTTATTTTTCTTGGGGTTTTTGTCTGTATTTTATTTCACAACATGACTAACGTGGAAATATGTTTTGTATGACTGCACATGTATATCCTATATCAAATTGTTTGCCTTTTCAATGAAGGGGGAGAGGAGGAAAGGAAGGAGAGAATTTAAAATAGAAAAACTTTTTTAAATGAATGTTTAAAACTGTTTTAGAAGTAATTGGGGGAAAATAAAATATTAAAAATTTTTTAAAAGTTTAGAGAACCTCAGGGGTAAATAATTACAGAAAAAAACTAAAGGCAGAATAGTATTACCAGGTCTTAATTCCATATTAGATATCAGTAATTATTAAAACTACTTGGTACTGGTTAAAAATAGAAAAGCAGAATAGTGACTTACAACATTACTAATGTGAAAATATGTTTAATAGGAATGTAAATGTATAACCTATATCAGATTGTGCACTGTCTTGGGGAAGGTGGTGGGGAGGAAGGGGGAGAAAAATTTTAAACTCAAAAGCATATGGAAGTGATTATTGATAAATTAAAATAAATTAATAAAAAATTTTTTTAAAATAAAAAAGAAGAGCAGAATAGTGGAACAAACTAACTAACCAAGACTCATAAGCAATTTAGCATATTAACCCAGTATTTGATAAACTCTGGAACATAAACTACTAGGGGAAGGACTCCCTAATCAACAAGAACTGGTAGGAAAACTGAAAAGTGATTTGGAAAAAAATTAGGCTTACACAGCATCTTCTACCATATACCACAATAAGCTCCAAATGGAAAAATGACCAAAATATAAAAAGTTCCTCTCAGGAGAATAGAAGGATATGTCTTCATATCTATTGCTAAGAAGCATTATGAACCAAACAAGAGATAGAGAAGACCATGAAAAATGAAGGTCATTTCAATTTTATAAAAATTTAAAACTTTTTTGCAGGAAGAAAATCAGTACTATTAGAATAAGAGAAGAAACCATCTAGTGGAAACACCATTGCATCATATTTATAAATACCTGGTATCCAAGAGTTGTGGACAACTGACAAAAAGACCCTCATCAAAAGGTAAGTTGCTAAAGAATATGAACAAACTTTTCACCTTTGATTTACATCATTATTTTCACTCCTACTTTGCTTGATGTGTCAATTTTAGATCCTTTCATGTTAAAACTGCTTAGGTCTTCCCATAATAAATGCGCTTCCTCCAGGTGGGGTAGTGGATGGAGTGCTGAGCCTAAAGTCAGGAAGATTCATCTTCCTAAATTTAAATCCAACCTCAAACCCTTACTAAATGCATGACCTTTAAGCAAGTCACTTAACCTTTTTGCCTCAGTTTCCTCATCTGTAAAATGAGTTGAAGAAGGAAATGGCAAACCTCTCCAGTATCTTTGCCAAGAAAACCCCAAATGGGGTTGTGAAGAGTTAGACACAAGTGGAAAAACAACTGAAAACAACAATTGAATGACATATATAATAAATGTTAAATACAATATGTGTTATAATGTATAGGTATATAGTTTGACATATATATCATAACATGTATGTGTATAGTTTTTTCCTTTAGTTATTATGTCAGAAAGAAATATGCTCTTAATCTCACCAAACTTAATAGAATCACCCTAAGCAAAACTCTTCTGTCTTGTATTAATAGCTAGTTAGCTTGTCTTAATTTGGACTTCCCCTTTATCAAAGATATGAGTTTTCCTCCAAAAAATGAATGGGTGGGTGACGTCTTCTGATCTTCTGAAATTCCTATTTGAAAACTTAGTTTTTTCATCAGGGCAATTTTTAAAGTTCTCAGAATATTTATCTTTTTAGCTGGGAGGCTTATGTGAGGATCAAAACCTCCCTTGAAGTGGACATGTTCTGCTTTCATTAAGCATGCTGAGTTTTTCTGGGTAGATAATTCATCTACATAAGAATCATCATCCAAGAAATTAATTCTTAAATTCGAATTTCTACAATCTGCCTTCATTCTTCTCTGAAAAGCTTGCTATGATCTTAATTATATTTCTTGGTGTTGAGTTTGCATTTTTGACAGCTCGTGGCATTTTTCTGTTGTCACTGTAATGTTGGAATTTAACTGTGTTGTGTCAACGCATGTTAAATCATGGGTTCTTCCTTGTTAGCTTTCTGTACAGTCTTAATCATTAAGCATTTATTTAGGGCTTATTGTGTTCCAGGAGCTATGGTGAGTGATCAGGAAACAAAGAAAGGCAAAAACATAGTTCCTAAACTCCAGAAGCTCACATTCTAGTGAGGGAGACAACATGTGAATAGCTATGTACATACAAGATACATTTCTATACGTGTTTCTCAAGGTTGTCTTCACCAATTCCAGGGAATTTCCTTTAATAATTTCCTTAAATATAGCATCCAGATTATTTTATTTTTTATAAGTTCTTTGACATGTAAGTGATCCTAAGACTATTGCTTCAAGATCTGACTTCCAGGTCTGCCATTTTGGGTCTGTCTGTTTTCTCATTTTTCTTTGTTGTCCCTTTGACACTACTTTGATGTTGATTGACTTATTTGCCTGAGTATATCTTTAGACTTAACCTTTAAAAATGTCAAAATTTTGGGGCAGCTAGGTGGTGCAGAGGATAGAGGGTCGGTCCTGAAGTCAGGAGGACCAGAGTTCAAATCCAACCTCAGACCAAACCCTTGACACTTAAATATAATGGGGTTCAGAGTCAAGAAACAGCAAGGGACAGTCATTAAATGGAAGAGCAAACCTAGACCTTGTACTGTCAGTATAAGGTACTGTGAGTTATCTGGACTCTATAGGTCCATAGCATGAAGCTTGACTATGTATTTACTTTATATACTTTCCTCCTAAAGTATCCACCCATGATAGTGGATCTGGAGAACTATATGGGTCCCTGGAATGTAAGACTCATCAGATATGCTACTTGTGTCTCTAGCAAAACTGACTTCTAATCCTCTTAGTCCTTATGTCTAAAGAGGAGATATGGCTCACTAGAGAAGGAACAAGTGTTGTCTTGACCCTTTGTAGGAGTCATTTGGCACTGTGTGTGTGTGTGTGTGTGTGTGTGTGTGTGTGTTTCTGTTGAGTTAAATTTAGCCTATCCTGTTATTCAAGGTTTTGTAAGCCTGAGTACTTTCCTCAAGCTCTTCTTTTATTTAGTCTAATGATTTTCTTAACTTTACCAATTCTTGCTTAATTTCAGCACATATGTTATACATTAGAGGACATAGTTCATTGTATCATGTGTATGTGTATATGCGTGTATGTTTTCTGTCTCCATTGTTCAAGAATTTTAGCTAGTAAGACTCCTTTCTTCAAGGTTCTACCACTCTATTTCTCTGATAAAGGTCTTATTTCAAAGACATATAAGGAATTGATTCAAATGTATAAGAATAAGAACCATTCCTCAATTGTTAAATGGTCAAAAAACATGAATATGCAGTTCTGAAAAGAAGACATCTAAACTATCAACAACCATATGAAAAAATTATCCAAAACACTAATTATGTACATGCATAACCTATATCAAATTACTTGCTGTCTTGGGGAGGTGTGAGGAGGAGGAGGGAAGGAGAAAAATCTGGAACTCAAAATTTTACAAAAATGAATGTTGAAAACTATTTTTACATGCAATTAGAAAAAATAAAATAATATTAAGCAAAAAAAAATTTTGTAATTTAATTATTAGAGAAAAGCATATTAAAGTAACTCAGTTTCCTCCTCACATCCATCAGATTGGCAAAGATGGCCAAAAATGAAAAATCACAAATATTGGAGGAGCTATGTAAAAACAGGCACAGCAATAATCAGAGCTGTGAATTGGTAGGGCCTTTCTGGAAAGCAACGTAGAACTCTAGCCAAAAAGTTGCTTAATTATACATACCTTTTAAGACAGCAATACCTCTAATAGGCCTCTACCCTAAAGAGATAGAAGAAAGAAAAAAAAAAGGATCCAACTGTACAATGTGTATAACATTTTTTTTATTTTATTGTAGTAGCAAATAACTGGAAACTAGGGGGTTGCCCATCAATTGAAAAATGGCTGAACAAGTTATTGAACATTAAAATAATGCAGTATGATTGTGCCATAAGAGATGATGAGAGGGATGGGTTCATAAAAACTATGACGATCTCTATGAATTGATACAGAAAGAAGTAAGAATTAAGAGAATAATTTAATATCTACAATCTTGACAACATTGTGAAGATACAGGATGTCTGCCCAACATACAAGAGCCCTACCTTGCTCTCTCTTACCATGGAAAGGGTACCTTGGGGCAGCTAGGTGGTGCAGTAGACAGAGCACCAGCCCTGGAGTCAGAAGGACCTGAGTTCAAATTTGACCTCAGATACTTGACACTTACTAGCTCTGTGACTCTGGGCAAGGCACTTAACCTCATTGCTTAGCCAAAAGAAAAAAAAACAAAACAAAACAGAAAGAGTACCTATAGCACACTCTGACCACTCACTTGCCATCTCTTCTCACCATCTTCTCTTCCTATTGTAAGAAAATTTAGAGTTGGTCATTCCATATATAGCCATTTGGCATTATAACCCTTCTCTGGGCCAGTTACTGTCTCATTTTCCTTACTTATTCCCATACTGGGTTCTAAAACAAGAGAGGTTTTTTATTTTTCTCACACATAGTACATTGCAAACAATTATTTGTGTCTTTTTTTATTGATTATATTACTAATAAATCAATGGAGGAGAGAGAAAAGGAAAGGGAAGAGAGGAAGAGATGGGGAAGAGGAGAGAGATAAAAATAAACATAAACTTAGGAGAAGTTTCTAAAGTCTACCTAATAAATAATATTTAATAAACTGGATAGGGATGTAGAGCTAATTAGCTAATTGCTCACGTTACAAATGACTCTCATTAATTATCTCTGAGCCCCACCCCAGTTTGCTAAATATTATTTATTAAATAAACTTCTATTCCATTAAGTTTTTGCTTCTCTCTCTGTCTCTCTGTCTCTCTGTTTCCCTCTTTTTCTCCCTCTCCCTCCTTCCCTCCCTTCTTCTTCTCTTCTCTCCCTCCCTCTCTCTCCCTCCTCCCCCTTGCCTTCCCTCTTCATCTCCCCCGCCCCTTCTTCCTCTTCCCCTTTCCAAGTTATATGATTTATAACAATTAATAAACAATGTAACCAGCAATAAAACATAGAATAAATAATTGTTTGCAAAATAACAGCTGAAAGATCACAAATAAAGTCACCTTTAGCCACCACTACAATCTCCCAGTTCTGGAAATAGTCCCTACCATTCAGCTTTTTTAAGAATTCTTTTTACAATATTTCTTGGCAAAATTAGAGTTAAAACAGTTCTCTCTCAGGAAAGAAGTTCTCTTCATCAGATTTCTCTCTTCCCCCTCACTCAGGCTCTCTTCAACCATGATAGGTACCTCTGTAACAACAGTTAAGCTCTCAGTCTCCTCAGAGATTCCTCAAAGAATGGTAGTTAAAATTGTAACTGCCCAAGATTCCAATGTCTCACAAAGAAATAGTAACGGTATTTATATTCTCTGTGGGAGAGGCTATTGAAACTGATGTTACCCTATCATAAAATTCCTTGATCATATATTTTACTCCTCTTCTTCAGAGTTCCACATTGATTGTATATTATATTTCACATCCCCTGCTCTGGCCAAATTGGAATTAGACTGAGCTCTGCCACCTAAATGTACCCTGTTTCCTGAACACAAGCTGTATGTGTTAATTGTTCCTAGTGCCTGAAATATCCTCCCTCTCCTCTCATCTTATTTAATTCTTTGTTGTTCAACCATTTCAGTCATGTCTGACTCTTCATGACTCTATTTGGGGTTTTCTTAGCAAAGATACTGGAGTGGTTTGCCATTTCCTTCTCCAGCTCATTTTACAGATGGGGTAACTGAGGCAGACAAGGTGAAATCACTTGTCAAGGGTCACACAGCTAGTAAGTGTCTCAGGCTGGATTTGAACTTAGGAAAATGAGTCTTTCTGACTCCAGGACCAGCACTCTATCCACTGAGCATCCTAGCTACCCCTATTTAATTCTACCTGTCTTTTAAAATCAAACTCATATCTTACCTCCTTCATGAA